GGGGGGGGGGGGATGAGTTGTACAGTGGAAACGAATTGTAGTGTTTTCTTGCAAATAGGGAAATTAAAACAGAAGAACAAAAATTGAACAATATAATAATATCTATTTTTCTATGAATTCATTTTTTCACAAATGAAAATATAGAACTCAACAAAAAATATGTATTTGGAATTTTTAAACGAAGTTATATTTTTTTATATTAGAGCTTGGCAAGCGATGCATTTTTTGGGAGGCCCCGCCTTGCGTTTTTCCCTTTGCCTTGTCACCTCAATCGCAGTTTACAAGTCGCTCAAACTTAAAGTTTTCGCATATTGTGCTATGGAACCTGAAGAAGGAAGAAAAATAAGAAGATTTATGAATCTTTTTTATAAATGCAATATATCTTATCAAATTTTTATTTTAATTGTGAATATTTTTTTTCAGTAGTTTTCCATGTTACCTATAAAGTATTATTTAGTAGTACTATTTCTGTTAAGCTTATCGGGGATATCCCTTTAAAAAAACATGTCAGCAATAGTATCGCGTATGGATAACGTAGAAAACTATTAAAAACAAATATTCAATTATAACAGTGTTATAATATTTAATAATAAATATATAATTATAATAATAAGATATTGTATCTTTAAAAAAAGATCCACAAGTCTTCTTATTTGTCTCCCTTTTACGGATCTCGCAGCTCGTAGACCATACTTCTGAAACTCGAGCTACTCGTAGGCTGCGTGCGACAAAATTAGAGAAATAACACAAGACAGAGCCTCCCGAAAATCGACCGCAAAGTGCATCGCTTGTATTAAATTCTGTTTTATACAATTCTCCTTATTCCATATTGCATAAAGATTATATATTGCGTTAAGATAAAACTATCAAGAAATGACTATTTGTTGCAACATTTAACTTTTCTAATGTTTTCCACACATTTTCAATGAAATAGAAGCTATAACTCATTTCAATTATACAATTCGCTTTATAATTATTTTATTCATTTAGGTACACGAAAAATTAAAAATGACGCTAATGCTGCTTGAGTCGCAGCAAGCTTCTAAAAATAGACACATTGATGGACTCGAGC